GAAATTATACATGTAATTTTGATGCAAGGAGCAGGGATGTTTGCCGATCTATAATTAATAGCTATTTGTGCTTCATGAAAAATTGCTGTGCTCATGATACAGGTATGTGGGAAAGCACACTTCTGAGAGATTAAACTTACATTTGAATAGCTTGCAAATAAAGCCCCTTAGTATATAATGACTGGTATGATATACAAAAGCAGCAAGTGATATCTGTTGAAACAGAAAATTGTTCCTTCTTGCACATGGTGCTTCGGCAGTGCTACCTTAGCAAACTTTTTTTGGTGCTTCAGGTGTGTCCTGTCAGGTTACTTTCATTCCTGCAAAAAAAAATAACAGTTTATTAAGCCATGATTTGGGTTACAGTCACAGCTAAATAATCATAGACAGGATGCTTCTGCTCAATAGAATGGGGAGAATGGGACACTGGGCCAAAACTAACATATTAGGTATGAGGTCTTAAAACCAATGAGATCAAACTTTCCTGGTTGGTGCTTGATCAGGGAATAAATCTGATGGATGCGGGCAGACAAGAGAAGAAAATAGGAGAGAGATGTGCCTAGAAAGTAGTTTAATTTGCATGCAGATAAAATATAAATAAAAATATAATTGGAGGTGCCAAAAATAATTATATGGCCAAATAAAGATCTGCAAAGGAGTAGAGGGAATGAACTAACTAGCAGATAAATGACCCATGCAGAGAGTGTATAAACTGCTATTACAGGGAGAAGAGTCACTCATAGCTAATGCATTGATCCAAATACTTTCTGACAGGCTTCAGCACCTTCTGTGAGCACTCACTTTTTTTTCCACATAAGCATTGTTATCAGTACATTAAAAATTATTCCTTTCATTAAAATTATTTTCAGGCCAAGTTGTGAGAATGACAGCAGGTTCAACCTCTCATCTGTAAGAGAAATAGAGAATGAAAGTCACCAGAGAATTCTGACTTCAAGGCAGATTGAACACTTCTTTTAATGAAGCTATTCCACTTTGTGTGATAGAATTTGCTATTAGAATAGCTAAAGAGCAAGACTGTCTCAGTGAAAGACTGTCATTCCTTCCAGTTCTTGTCTCAAACACTATCTTTTCATCCAGTAACTCCATCCGATGTTTAGTTTCATTACTAAACATTGGTTTTCCAATGGGCAATTATGTCAATCATCTAGCTACTGATAAAAGCAGCGTGCTATGAAATGTTATTGCTGGAGAGTCCTTCCTCCCTTTCCCCATAAATTTCTTTAAGAGAGCTGGGGGAAAACAATGTACATTTTATTGAAAAAGCAAAGTCCATTTGGATGCTATGTTTGTCTTTACTACAAAACCGTTTTCACCCCAAAAGACATTGATCTCTATTTAGCAAGTAGAAAATGGTTATCAAAACAAACAATAAAAAAAAAAACTTTATATATAGCTTTGAAAATCTCCCTCTGAATTGATTGGCTGAGTTAGTGAAGTTTACTGATGAGTGTTTTTCTAAAGTGGTATTCGGGAAGCTTTGATCTGTGTGGTTTCTTTTCAGCAAGGCCACAGGTTTGCAAGTGCAGCTATTCTGCAAACAGGGCTAATGCACAGGGAGGCCCAGCTAATTTGAACTAGCAGGAGTAGCTTGATCTTCAGAACTGCCTGACATACACCCATAGCCACAATAAGCTGATTTAGAGCTTGCTCAGATACCCCTTGATATTATTGCAACTTGCTTCTGAAAACATGCTGTAGAAACCATCTGCTTCTTTTTTTGGCTTACTGGGTGTTTGTGCACCCAAAAGTTAAAAACAGCTGTTTTGAAGTCTGAAATGCAGACATTCACTGAGGCTGCCTTAGGTCTGTACTTTAATTCATTTTACAGAAGTTTTACAGAATAGAATGATTATTTGGCAAGATCTAGCTAAAATGTATATTCATGTCTGTGGCGGTTGTATAAAATGACTAGCTCAGATCTTAAAGTTCACATGAAACCGAATGTCTTCCAGACTTGAGGTTTAAATTCTGTGATACCCATATGGAAATCCACAGTCTGAGCTTTCTGCTGCCACAGGAATTATACAAACAGATGCCAGAGAGCATTAGCCAAAATAGGAAGGCTTTTCGTCTAATCAGGCCAAGCTTTACACTTAATATGCTTTGTTCATACCTGTCCTGAAGTTTTGAGACACTTCTGTCACACAGACAGCACTAGCACCTGCAGATAATAGCAACAAAGTTAATTAATATTATTAACAGACTTTATCAGGAGTTCATAAATATGTCTCTGTTTGGAAGGTTTGGGTTAATGTCTCCGGCCATTACTGTCTCCCATAAACACTCATTTCTGCTATTTTCGGGGCAAGCCTAGGGTAAGATCTAAGCGATGCTGTGTTGCATCAGACAAAGCAACTTTGCATTTTATATCCTCCACAGCGTGATTTTAAGATCTCTCTCCTTTGACCGTATTGGCCTTTAGTCTTGTTTCCACTGAGGAATAAGGTAAAAGAAAATCTTTTAGAACCAACAGGGCGATGTTCCTTCTCCATGAGGGAACAAACATTTCAGCATTGCCACAGGGTCTGTGGGACTTGTTCAATTCTTGCTTATACTAATTGCACGGAGACCAGATCACCCCTAACTCCATACATACATATCACAATGACATTACCATTTTCAGGATCTTGGCCTTCTAGCTCTCCAAACCCCTCATGGATTGCACTGCACTGCATTTCATTTTTATAGGTCCAGTAGGTTGACAGGTAGCTTGCTTCGTGTTTATCCTCCGATGTTACCGTCTCCACAATGGCATATGTCTTGCTATCAGTCGTCTCAGATTTAAGCTTGTCAGGGGAGTAATCTGTGATAAGGCACATTTCCAAACCCTCATCATCTTTAGACGTCAGCCTATATACTGAAGGAGAGGGAGTAACATCTGAAAGGGGAGAAGAGAAGAGAGTTCACTCATAGTTTCTTCCATCTTATTTGAAGTATGGAGGTTTAAGTGGGAAGCTGCCTGATCATGGACATCTCATGCTAAGACACTTTCAGAGAAAAATGTCTTTTACAGTGCATCATCAGAGAATTTTGCTGGAGTCACAAGTGATGTTGAGATACGATCCATAGAGCCTCTCAAATGACATTTAGTTAAACATCCTCTCTGTAACAGCTTGTTAACCTCTACCATACAACATGGGGTTCTTATTGGATCTCGACCTGAAAGAATTTAGGATCCCAGAGAGCACAGGCATAGAGAGCACTTCACTCTTGCTTCACTGCCTTGAAATCATGTGTCTAGAAAGGACTGAGTAGTGTGGGACGACTGAAGAACACCAACATCACCCTTGTCTTCCTCGCTTCCACAAAGGTGTTATTAAATCTATCATTGACATTCAAATTCCTACTTCCTCCAATACTGAAGGACTGTGGATTAACTAAGAAGTCTGAAAGATGTCCGTATCACATGTGACTATCAGTCTAGCTAACTGTTGCATTGGAAAAAGCAAGGAAAGCCTTTACGAAGTAGCAACACATGCTTCCTTTTAGGGAAAGAAATATTAAACCAAACTTTCACTATATTCTAACACCTTAGACTGTAATATACCTGGCAGGGCTGAGGGGAGGGAGAGTGCTAAATTTTGCCCTCAAAAAGAGTGGTTTTGTTACTAAAGATGGCAAATCTAAGACACCTGGTTTTGATTGCTGTTTTCTGGCTTCAAATTCTGCTTGATAGTTAATTACACTAGGATTTTCCCCACATATCAAAACACTACCTGTGGATAAACTTTTTGCACTATCGAATTGGTAAGACTATACACTCCAGGCATGCATTTCTTCTTATCCAGCTCTCAAGATTTTCTCATTCTACAAGAAGGTGTTTTCCCCAAGTTTTGTTCATGCACAATGATAAAATGTTATCTGTATTGCAATTCTCTAATGGTGAAGAGATAAAACATGATTAAAGATATAATGTAGTCAACCCAAGTGCATTTTTCAGTTGCACTCCTCAATCACAGGTTTGAACCTGAGCTTCAGTTCACATTTATAAACTTACAAAGAATTACTGTGTAGGTTTCAGAGCTTAGAATAATGTTTGCTGAGACCCTGCTTACAAACAAAGCTGATAATATTATATATATATTTTTTCTATATATTCCTTTATTATAAGGACAGCAATCGGTTCCCAGATTAAGAAGTTTTCAGTTCTTCCCACTGGGAAAATTTTGTATAAAAATCTTGGCTTTAGAAATTGTCTCAAAATCTTATTGAAGCATAGGTCCCTTGTTGTATCACTGAGAGAAATGTTTCTCACCTATTCTATTACCAATTGTCAATACCTTAGAGAAATATCCATAATTACTACTGTCAATTCAAAAGGAGATTAGCTACAAAGCCAAATGGACCTTTTATTTCTGGCCTTTTTCCTGAATTACAGTTCTTCCGACCCAGCTTTGCCCTGACTTACGGATACTAAAGAGGATGAATTGATAGCACTACATTGCTTCTCGCAGTGGATGCTCAGCTATATGCCCACCTCTGTCTCAGTTAGGGTGTTTTGCTCGCTTTCAAACTGTGCAATGCTTTTATCTTGATCAGATACAAATTAAGGACTGTTTTTGCAGGCAGCTTCAGCAGCAGCTGCTTTGCAACACACGCATTTCTCATTCTTGCTCAGCGTGATTGCTAGTTTTGTTTTAACACCAGAGGCTGTTTTCTGACAAGGTCCTTTGCAGATTTTTGTACTGCTATGAAAATTTGCAGAGCACAGCCTCGATAAAGATCAACTATTTTAACCACAGTGCTGTGACCCCATGTTTCCTGTATTCTGTTTAATGAATTGGCGTGTGTGTTGGAGATGCTATTTTTATATCTGTGATCTTCTTAATTTACAAGAAATATTGAGGAGTGGGTGCTCAGCAATACTCTCAGCCATCTACCTGCCTTATTTCATACTTACTAGAGGACATCTTCCAGGTAGAAGAAGAGGAGATACTTAAATGCTATTCCTGACTAGTTTACAGAAAAACTTCAGAGGGTGATTTAAAGGAGGGCCACAGAAGCAGTTTTCAACATCAGACCAAGACCTCTACCTTTTTTTTTTTTTTTTTTTGCCAAAGCAAATGCAGTAGAAGTCTTATACTGTCTTAACACACAACTTGGATTATGTATTGATCCATCTCAGTCTTCATCGCCTCCAAAGTAAAATCCCTCCTGACTAGAATCGGTGGGAAATATTTTGATCCTCTCTACAATTCCCCAACCAAACCCATATGATATTCCACAAACTAGAGTTAACCTGGAGTTATCCCCCAGTTCAGAAGAAAGATATGCCCCAGCACATGGTCATACGTTAATCTTGACCCTGAAGCAGTATTCCAATGACTGAACATTCATGTTTAGTGATGTTTGCTGTCTCTCCTCAGATAGAAGTTCCAAAATGCCCCTGCAGATTCTGTGATATCTGCCAATCCTGCATGAATGTTCAGATGTCTATAGCAGCAGTCCATATTTAGACTTCCAGATTCTCCATCCTAGACTCCCAGTGCACTAGATTTTGAGACATTCAGATAAAAGATGCTAGGTCCTAGTCCTGCCTCTGCCAAGTCATCCAAGGAATAAGGTTCTTGTGCCAAGATTTCAGTACTTGCACTACTGAATACACACATATGCGTCATGGAAATCACTTGCTCCTACAACAGGTGACAAATTATAATACTGTTCTTAATATATTGTGGAGAGATTAGGCAGGCAAAATACCTTGTAAAACAACAAAATACTCTCAAGAAAAGACCCCTCTGAGAATTCAAACATACCTGGAGATACTCTAAGTTTGGTTCCAGCTCCAAATACAAGTTTGCCGTAATTCCCAGTATTACACTGTGACACACTGCTTTGCAAAAAAACCATGTGCACAACAGTCTATTCTGAATTAAGATTTATAAACAGGGGAATGCAAGATGCTTACTGGAACAATCTAGCCAAGGCCAGTTTTGGACATCTTCGTACGATATATAGTGAAATAAACACTCCCTTCAGTCACATTAAGCCTGTTTAGTCATCCCTTACACTAACCTAGCTGTTGTCCTCCAACTAATTAGACATGTTTATTCTTTCTGCTCTCTCCACACTCTGTTTGTCAATCTGTGCATGCATATATAATTTTCCATATAGCATCTAGAAGCCTTCCAGCTGTTGTCATTGAGTCTGACCAG